CCTTGAAAGAGTTGTCACCGTCAATGTCACCAATTCCTCTTTTTGTCTTCTCCCTTAACTTCCACTCGTCATGCTTTTTCTCCCTCTACTCCACCAAAACTGCTCTGATCAAGACCCCGAATGACTCTGCATTACAAGCTCGCACGGCCAATTCACAATTCTTATGTGACTTGACTTCTCTCCACCCCTAGAAACATCTCCTTCGCTTGGCTCCCAGGACCTCACACGCCTCTAGATTTCTTCCTACCTCCCTGATTGCTCCTTCTCTTTTCTTGATTGATTCCCTTCTTGCCCCAGCCTTTTTGTGTTATGTCCCAGGCCTTGGACCTCGGCCCCCTTCTCCTCTCTATCTACATTCATTCCTTTGTGAGCTTATCCATCCACATACTGATAACCCTCAATTTTATATTTCTAGCTCAGATCTCTCCCCTGAGCCCCAGGCTTGTTTATCCAACTGCTTTCTCAACATCTCCAGTTAAATGTCTAATAATTACCTCAATTTAACATGTCCCAAACTGAGCTCCCTATATCTCTCCCCAAACCTGCTCCTTCTGCAGTCCTCCCCAACTGAGTTCAAGAAATTCCATCTTTCCAATAGCTCAGGCCAAATACAGTCATCAACAGTGATACTTCTCTTTCCCTTGTGCCCCACATCCCATCTGTTAACAAATCCCATTGGCTCCAACTTCAACATATAACCAGGATCTGCTACAACTTCCCACTTCCACTGCTACCACCCTGGTCAAAGTCATCTCCTCTAAGATTATCATCATCCAGCTTATCATCATATAGATTATTGCAAGAGTCTCCTAAGTAGTCTCCCTATTTCAAGCCTTGCTCCCCATACACCCCAGTCTAGAATGATCCTTTTAAAACTAAGTCAGGTCTTATTGCTCATAACCTTCCACTGAGTGCTCATTTACTTCAGAATAAAGGCCAGCATTTTCACAATGGCCAACAAGGCCCTACATAACAGCCTCCCATTATTACTTAGTAATTATTATGCTTGTCGTTGTTTGCATGAATATTAGCTCCATATGGGCAGAGGATTTTTATCTGTTGTTAGCAACCCAGTCCGTGTTTGTTGAATGAATGAATGAATGAATGTACAAGAAGGACCAGAGTGAGGCGAGGCTAAAGGATGGGGGACCAGTCATGAGGCATTGGGAATGTCCAGGTGAAAAGTTATGAGACCCTGAATCATGAAAGTATTGAGTTGTAGGAAAAGTCATGACGTATGTTTGCGACAGATGGCACTAGTTCATTTTTGGAAGTATTAGAGTAATTCACATCTATGTTATTGCTATGTCATTTGATAGCTGACAACTCTAGCTTCATTCAAAAAAAAATAAATAAATGAGCGATTTGGTTGTTTTGGAGATTTTACAACAAGTTGAAGATGGAAGACCAAATTGTGCATTTTTGCCATATTTTACTGTTTTACTTCCATAAAGGGAAGAATGCGCATCAAGCTTGTGAAAAGTTGCATAAATTTTATGGTGACAATGCTCTATAAGAACGTCAGTGCCAATGATGGTTCATGAAATTCCGTGCTGGTGATTTTGATCTCAACGACTCTCCTTGGTCAGGGAAGCCCACCGAGGTTGATGACGACAAAATAAAGGCATTGGCCAAGTCAAACCCATGTTACACAAAACAAGAGATTGCAGAAACATTGAACATCCATCATTCAAGCATTCATGACCACCTGGAGAAGCTGGATATGTAAGCAAGCTCAATATTTGGGTTCCGCATGAACTCAAAGAAGTTCATTTGACAGCTCGTATAAACATCTGCAATATGCTCATTAAATGTGAGGAAAACGATTTTTTTTGAAGTGACTGATAACTGGTGATAAGAAGCGGATTCTTTACAACAATATGGTATGCTAACAGACTTGGTCCCGATGTGATGATTTGCCTCAAACGACACTGAATGCAGACATTCATCAGAGGAAGGTTATGCTCTCAGTGTGGTGGGACTTTAAAGGTGTCGTGTTTTTCGAGCTCCTACCAAGCAACCAAACAATCAAATCGAATGTGTACTGTTGGCAATTGGACAGTTTGAATGACTCCATCATCCAGAAACGTTCAGAACTCGTTAATTGTAAAAGAGTTGTGGTCCATCGTGACAACACGAGACCACACAAGTTTGATCATTTGTCAAAAATTATTGGAGCTTGGATGGGATGTGTTGCCACACCCACCATACTCACCTGACCTTGAGCCATCAGACTTCTACTTGTTTCACTCTCTTCAAAACTCCTTACGTGGTATAATGTTCAATTCAGATGAGGCTGTAAATCAGCACCTTGTTCAGTTTTTCGCAAATAAAGACAGGTCCTTCTATGAACAAGGAATTATGAAGCTCACTGAAAGATAGCAAAAGGTTATCGAACAAAACAGGCAATATATCATTGAGTAATCTTTGTTCTTTATATAAATCAATGACCTTTGAAAAACAGACAAAATACATCATGACTTTTCTGACAACCTAGTATAATGGGAAAGGCATGGTGGAATGTAGTTCAGAGCCATGTTTCGCCATAAATTTACCATAACCAAATTGATGTTGAAAATGAGGAGTTGGGCAGGAGTCAAAGAGATCCCCCAGCTTCCAGCTTGCACAAGGTATAGGTAGATACGTCTGAGGAGAGGGACGGCAGAGGGACAGTTACAGAGTTTGGGGTTGAAAATGTTGTGTTTAAGCAGGAAATGTTCACTAAGCAGCTAGAATAACCATAACCAATCCTTTCTTCTTTTTGGAAGCTACTTAACTAAAATATAGTTAACTATTATTGTACTATCCTACTTGGTTAAAATATCAATTCTGCCAGTTTAGTGATAATTATTAGTTAGAAAGCAGCTAATGTATGCTTAATGATCCAGTTATGCTTATCAGATAACATTTGATTTTAAACTAATTATTTTTTAATATTATACATTTTTATATTAATTATATTATATTAAGAATTAAATTAGGTAATGGATGTACAGTTCTTGTCATAATGCCAGTTATGTAGTTATATATTATAAAAATAATATATATTCATCATCAAATGATCACAGGAAGTTATGAAATGTTTCTGTCTCCAGGGGGTGGTAAACCATCCAAGCTGTTGGTATAAACTTGGTGATATCAAACTCTTTAAGTTATATTAATTTGGCAAGTCATCTATTTTTATTTTAGTAATTGACAAATATCTTATTCAAAGCAAGGGCTTTCTAATTATTCTGACCCAAGAACCTAGACTTCTTTTGACATTTCCCCCATGATGGTACTGCAGCTGTCACCGCCTCCTAACTCCCGCCCTGGTGCTTGGAGTGCCATTGTTCATGGGAACTTTTTTGGGGTGTCTCTGCTAGTCACCAGGAGGCTCCAGGTGGAGGCTGGGGCCACGTCTGCAGATGAACCACTGGCTACAGAAGAGCTGAGATATGTCTGAGGCAGACAATCCCGAATAAGCTTTAGGGGGCAAGTGGGAAGAAGAAAGCAAACTCTCTCTTGCCAGCATTTGTGCAAGAGACAAAAAGGAGAGTGGAAATTTGTAGAAGAAAAAACTTAATTTACCTCTTCTAGGAAAGGAAGCATGTGCTTAACAGACAGCTAGGTCGGTCTCTTATGCAGGTCTTTTGATCTTCAGGGAGGTAGCTGAAGTGTGGTTGCGTCAAAAGATTTGGAATCTTAGAACTGAGAGCCACTCTCGGCCTTGCTGAGCCTCGGTTTCCTCATCTGTTAAATAAGAGGATTATACTGACTCTCAAGTTTTGTGTGAGGTGTAAGGAGGTGACATGTATGAATGTTTTGTAAACTGGAAGTGCCTTATACCTGCTATCAGAAGCCTCCTGGTTAAAGCACAGTGTATTTCGTGAAAATAAAACAGCTTTAGGCAGCCTTTCCTAAAACAGCTCCATTTTTCTTGCCATATCTTCATCCTAATTTCCAACCCCTACTGTGCTTTTTCTTCATGGCAGGTATCATGACCTCAAAATATACTTGTTTAGTCTCTCTTCCCCTGCTAGACAGCCAGCTCTATGAGAGTAGGACTCTACTGGTCTTGTTCACCACTGTCTCTTTAAGAGCTCAGAAGAAGGCCTGATGCATACATAGTAGGTGCTTGACAGATAGTTGTTAAATGTTGAATGATGAATGCAGATGAATGTATAATCTGATTCTTCCAGGAGCAGGACAGCTGGTTCTCAACTTTTTGTTTGCTTGTTTCAAATGCAGGTTTCCTGGCCCAGCACAGAGGGATTCTGATTTAGCAGGACTGGTGGGACCTACCGCTGAACTTGCTATTTTTAACCAGTGTCAGGTGATATTGTTGCAGGTAGTCACTAATAAAGTTACCCTGAATCGGACAAATCTTAAAGCAAGACTTCAGTCTGCTACTTACGGGCTGTATGACTTCACGAGGTAAATGCTTAACTTCTCTGAGCCTGTTTCCTTATCTGTCAAGTAAGAATGACAACATCCTCTGGAGTTGTTATGAGGATTAAATGAGTCAATGGACGTAAAGGTCTTGTCAAAATGCCAGTTATGCAGTTAGCTGCCATCATTATGTTTATTATTGTTTTTGTGTCATTGTTCTGCTCTGGCAAGAGAACTTTCTCTCTGGAGGATTGCTCTTGGAAATCTCCTCAAAGTGTGGTCCCAACCAGCAGCACCCCAGTGAGCTGGGAGCTGGTTAGAAATGCATTATCCCGGCCTCACCCCAGATCTGCCTAATCAGATTCTGCACTTTAACAAGGTCCCTAGGTGATGTCTTTGCACATTCAAGTTTGAAAAGCGTTGTTCAAAGTCACGTGTTCTGTGTCCTTCCTGTCTCTAATTTCAGAGTCGGCCCAGGAGGTTTGTAAGCCCTGGCATCTCAGAGGCCGAATCCCTGACCCAGCGCACTTCAGCTGGCTGCACCTCTAGCTGAGGACATTAGAAGGGATTCCCTCACGGAGCCCTGACTAACCCCACAAGCTCTGAGCAAGTGACTGTGGAACTAGCGGATGGATCCAAACTCCAGCTTGCTTTCCCCTCCGTCCCGGGCCTGCTCTCACCCAGCGGAACCCTGTATGGAAGGTGGGAGAAGCCCAACCCTCCGTGGTGGGGGCAGACACTCTTCCTTTCCCTGGAGCCAGGTCCCCAACTCCAGCCTTGCTGACCCTGACTGGTTTTGGGATGAGCACATCCAGGCAAAGAGGGCCAGAGTAGAGACCATTGTCCAAGGCATGTGCCTCTCCCCTAACCCTCTGATGCCAGGCAATGCCCGAGCCAGGGACAGCCCATGCTGCCCAGAGAAGTCCCGGGAAAGGAAGAGGAAGCAGAGCCTTCCCACGCAGCAAACTCCCCGCAAGCCAGGCCCTGCTGGGAACCATGGCAGCAGGAAGGGGGGCCCGCGTGTGAGAGAACAGCTTCATCTACTGAAGCAACAGCTAAGACATCTGCAAGAGCACATTCTACTGGCTGCTGAGCGCAGGGACACAGCTCAGGGCCCAGGAGACCCTGAGAAGGAGAGGGGCCCTCAGAGCGTAAAGCAGAGGAATGGCCATGGGTCCAGGCCGTGGGCTGTAGACACTGACCACCACCGGGGTCCCAGCAGGGACCTCTCCGAGGTGGAAAAACACAGAGAGTCTGATGTTGAATTCCAGCCCGAGGAACCCAGGTTCCTTCCTCCTGGAACACGGGCTTTGCTGGAGATTCTGAGGAAAGAATTGATGGGGGCAGTGTCCCAGGCTGTGGACTCAGTACTACAAAAGGTATTTCTGGATCCCCATGGCCACCTGACTCAGCTAGGAAGAAGTTTCCAGGGGCTGGTGTCAGAGGGGAGAGGCGAGACGTCACCTGAGGGAGGTGCCTATAGAGATCCACCTCCTCTGTCCACCTTGCCCAGCAGGGCCCAGGCACCGGCTGGGGTCCCACTGGGAAACTTAGCACTGACCAAGCCTCTAGATTCTCCTAGGTACCCTGTATCTCCAAGAATGATCCCCAAATCCTATCAAGGCCCCCCCACAAACTGTCCCTTGACTGTGCCTTCCCACATCCAAGAAAATCAGATTCTCAGCCAGCTACTGGGTCAGGGACCCAATGGTCACTGGAGCAGCAGTCTTCTCCAAGACTCATCCCCTCAAAGTCACTCCTCCTCAGAGGCTGCCCTGCCACCTTGGGGAGCTGTCAAACTGCGGCCGTCGGTTCTGAGCCAGCAGCAGCATGCCTTGCCCTTCGCTTCCACCCGTTTGGAAAGACTGTCCCTTCTTCCCTCGGTGAAGATGGAGCAGGGTGACCTGCAGGCTGTCGCTGATGTACTTCCTTTTTCTTCAGTCCACATATCCTTTACTAGTAATTGAAGTTCTTTGTCACAGCCCAAAGGAACAGGAAATCTGGAAGACGAGGGGAGATGGAGACAAATAACTATATGGCATTGGGAACAGCTTTGCTTTCTCGGTGGTCTTCTTAACATTGCTTCTGGACCTTCCTTCCCTGTGGCTTACAGTTATGAGGCTCCCGGGAAGGCGGTGACTGCATTCTGGGGTTAAAGATGCTGGAGAGGAAGGTTCATTTACCTTCTCTGTGACACAGCAGCTTCTTCCTCTGGGTCTGAAAGGGTTTTGCTTGTTTTTAAACTCAAATGGGCTTCCAAAATAGGATAACTACCCTATGGAAGGAAGAACCCCATAATTTGGTTGTCAGCTGCCCATACACCTTGACAGAGAGGGTCAAAGGTATGACTTCATCTGAGGCATGGCTCCCCCAGCCTCTTGGCTCCACAGGCAAGCGTTCTGCACTGACTAGATAATTCACGGCGAAGGTATGAGGGACCAGAAACTTCTGAGGCAGGTGGGGAAGGGGAAGTCTTCCTCAGGGACTGGACCAGGGGCAGCTGGAAGGGGTAAGAAGACTTCAGTTTAAGGCACAGCTTCTAAGCTGCTGCTGGGAGGACTAGGGTCTGGGGCTAGGCACATGGAAGGAGAGACCCCACCCCCCCGCCCCGTGGCGGAGGCTGAGGGGCTCAGGTTGGTCTGTAGGCGTCTGGATCTTATTGCATCATCTTTGCCACACTTAGGCAGACCCCACTCTCTTAAATAGTATTTCCCAGAGTAATGCTCCCTCAAGATATTAATAATTGTTGAATTAGAAAAAAAAAAGCAGCTTGGGTAAATATTGGGTTAGTTTCTTTGCTGCGGGGCTTCTCAGAGCCTTTAACGTGCTGAAGTCCAAGGTGAAGCGCTAAGAGAATATGTGTGCAGCCCCAAACTCATACGACCAAAGAACCCCCTTCCAACAAGCATCTTATAGGATAAAGTTTCTGGCGACACATTTTGGATGTTGCTTTTTTGGCGAGCCGAGCTCATGCTGTCGCTTCTCATGGGCAGCCGAGTCTCCAGGTGTCGATGCGTCTGTGAGGTGAACAGCCGTGCCCTCTGTCTGGCAAGCTGTAGTTAAGGCCAGAGAGAACAGGTGGGGCCAGCTCACTGCCACGCCAGAGCCGGCTCGCGTCCTAACTGCTATGAGCGCCCCCTGCTGGTCACAGGTGTTGGAAACACCCCCAAAGCTCGGCTGCCGCTGGGTGCTTTCTGGGCAAGCAGTGAGCACCTATAAAGCCAATGCTAGCAACACCTCACTTGCCTTTTCAGACAGCAGGGGGATCTTTTTGGAAGTATAGAGATGGCAGCATAGATAGATATTCTTGACCACTGGTTAACTCCGTGTTAAAGTCAGGCAGTGGTAGAAGAACCTCAAGAACAGAGCCCCCAAAGATTCTTTGCTTCCTGATCCTTTGCATGCTGATCTTTCTCAGGCACCTACTGTGTGCCTGGCCCTATCCTGTGAAATGAGGGTTGGGCTCAGAGAGCTTCAGGAGGTTTCAGGGTCCATCCACCCGGCCTGGCTGCACAAGTGAGGCACTTTGCTACCTTTGCAATGATTTGGATCCTTGGGGCAGCATCCTGGCCCCCCAGTTAGTCCCTCGTTCCTGCTGCCTACATTCCAGCATTAGAGATTTATTCCTGTGGGCCATGAAGCCACCTGAGAGCAAGATACTTTGAAGTGTAAGAGAACTTTCAGGTTCACATGCCAGCCCTGTGAAACGGGTAAAGCAGGTGCGATGACGAGATGATGAGGGTAGCATTTGCTCTGCACTTTCCCTGTGGCAGGCACCATTACCAGCAGTTCACATGTACATGTCCGCCAGCACTTAGCCACATTCTGCAACTCTAAAAGCTCTGAAAAATCCTTCTGTTTTCTTTCCTGTAATGATGGTGGGAGCTTTTTTGGTGGCAAAGCCTGACCTGCACTGATTGGAGGCTGTTTATAACCTAACCAACTTATTGTAAATAGTCATCCGTTTTTCTGTGGAAACATGAATGTTTCGGATTACAGACTGCTGCCACAGCCTCCGCTGCAGGTGTAAACATATGGTACATGCACCATGTTACCTTTATAACAGAAATTCTGAAACCTGAATCCCATTTGGCCCAGTGTTTCAGACAAGAGGTTGTGGGCCTGTATTATCTCATGATCCTCAAGCCTCCACTCCAGGTCAGGTATTTGAGAGGCAGGCACAGAGAAGTGAACTAACTTGCTCAAAGTCACAAGACAGACACATGCAGAGCTGGGATTCAAACCCATGATCTGACTGCCAAGCACAAGTTTTAACCACTGTATTCTACATTTAGAAATGGCCCAGAGAAGGTAAGTGGCTTGCCTAAGGTCACACAGCTAATAGGTGGCAAAATCATTATCTGAAACTGCGTCTTTGGATTCTCTCAAATCCAGGATTCTTTCCAGAGCATTTATGAATCTATAAGAAGGATAAGTAGGGCCAATGGGCAGGGGGCAGGGTCTTCTACATAGCTGCCTGAATGCCAGGGCCGGCTGTAACTGTAATCAGTTGATTTTCTTTGGTTAAACTGATATATCCTACTGAGAAGTCTTAATTGTCCTAAAGCTACAGCCCTCAGACCTGAGCTCCAAGGTTACTTACCTGTGTAAAGCTTTGAGAAGCCCCAGGAACTGTCCCTGGCAATGCTAAGTGTTCTTGTGTAAAAACATTTATTTGCCTCCCATTCTGGTGCTAGGCAGTCATACCACAGCTCCCTGCTCTTGTTAAAGGGGGAGGAACCTGTTCCCAGACTGAGATATGGGTTGGAATACGATTTCCATATTTGCAAATGGATTAAGGTTGACCATTCATTTAATCATTCACACATACCTTTATCTAACATGTTTATTGAGCACCTACTATGTTCCTAGCACTGGGCTAGGCCTGTGGAATACAAAGATGAAAAGATAAGGTCCTTGTCCATGAGGTGCTCACAGTCTAAATGGTGAGGCAAACATGCAGTAAAAATTCCAATAAGGTCAGTGCTACAACAGAGGTTTGTACAAAGAGCCTTGGTAGCCCAGGGGAAGGAAGGCCTAATTCAGCAAGGAAATGTTGTATAGAGGAGGGCACGTCTGAGCTGAGACGGGAAGGGTGAGAGCAAGTTCTGCCAGGCAAACAGAGGGCAGGTGCAGACAGCAGCAGTTCAAGTTTCTTGAGCCAAAGCAAACTGATCTGGTACCCAGTCTGGTTAAATACTTGTTGGCTTAAACACTGCGAAGGCAATTTTGAGAGCCAGCATGGGGATCATCAATCAAGTTGATTCTTCTCATTTTACAGATGAGAAAACTGAGGCAGAGAGGAGAAAGAAATCTCTACTTGGGTTTCAGAATGGTTTATCTAGTAGAGGGCTGCCATCTCTTCTCATCCTATTCTGAAAGCACACACAAAGTACAACAAACTGTATTTGGTATCATATATGCCACAGAACTTTTACACATCAACATGGTTTTAAAATTCTGCAACTGTACTGTACATATACTCCTATGGTATTTAGCACTCAGAAAGAAAAAGCTTATCTGATCAGATTTGCTAGAGACATAAAAATGGAGCAAATGCACTATTCAACCAGAATAAAATAAAATAAAACCCACAAGGAACAGGACAATTCACTGTTTGGATAATCTGATAAAATTGTTTGATAAACTGGTATTAATTTTCCTTGACACTGGGATAAATCCAGGAGGGTCTAAATCCCGGTCACTTGAAGAAGGCCAAGCTAATGTTTTTCTTCACACGCTACCCCAGCTCCAACCTCCTGAAGGCTTATTTCCCAGACGTACAGGTAAAGTCATCCCATTGAGTTTCAGCCTCTGCAAAACTTGTTTCCAGTTCTGGGTCGAGAGTCTGCCTGAATAATCACGAATAACAGTGGGCTAGGAAGTTTGGGTGTTTGAAATTTTCAGCTTTTGAACTGTAGAAATACCCAGAAACACATGTGGAGGGAAAAGGGTGGGGGGAAAAGGGAAACATTAGTAAATGGCCTCTATGGCCTAGTGTTCTGTCTTTGCTGGGGACACTATGAAAAAGAAAGGCTGTGTATATACAGAGCTGGACACTGCCAAATTGACATTCAAATTGCTGTGTTTCAAACGGAGTGAAGGTACACACAGAATAAGGAAAATCAAGCTCTGATGGTTGGAACCAGGACTTGCCTGTTTCCATCAAGTTTCTGAGGGCCTCCTTTACCCTGGGTGTTGGGTTAGGGTCGTTAATATTTTGTATCTATATCATTCCTTTGCATTTACCCTCATATTCAGTTGCTTGGTTGACCCCTGCACCAAGCTGATTTCAATTCATTCTGCAACTCCAAGTTGCTGATAAACTGCTCTCTGATCGACACCCTCACCCCTTCCCTTGGCCCTTCACCAGGCAGAAGGCTCAGTGGCTGCCATGCAATGTCTCGGTGAAGCAGTAGTGGGTACCACACTGGCCTTGACCCTGGAACATCCCAAGGTCATACCTAGACCACGGCAAGCTTTCCATGGGTGAAAAACCTTCATAAATCTAGCATATCAAAAAACATATATTTTCTAATGGGTACTATATAGCTAATTCAGATTTTTCCGTGTAACACTGAATAGGCTTAGAAAAATAGCCATGGCTTCTTTTCCAAAGGAAGCCCTTTTTGAAAAGGTTGAAGCCGTTCTTATTCACCTCCATGTTGAACTGGAAGCTGACAGTTCCAACTCTGAGCACCTTATGGGAAACGGCTGACTTGATGGGCTCCATTGTTTGCACAGTTCAACCGCTGCATTACCTCCCAGATGATCAAGTGGTTCAGCAACTTTCGCGAGTTCTATTACATTCAAATGGAGAAATTTGCCCGGCAAGCGATTTCAGATGGCGTCACAAATCCCAAAATGTTGGTGGTTCTCCGCGACTCTGAACTTTTTCGAGCTCTCAATATGCATTATAACAAGGGAAATGACTTTGAGGTAAGACACATACTTGGGTCCCGTGAGGTCTGATGAGTGTGGTCCATGTGTGATTGGAGTTTTAGAAAAGACGCCCCCTCCCCTGGTGTCAGTCCTTAAGTCACTGAGCCAAGGCAGCCTGGGGCCAATCTCTGTACCATCCACCAAGATGACAGCCTCAATGTCTTCTTAGGCAACAGGTGGATGTCGCCAACTGAATAGCCAGCCAGTCTTCTTTCTGAAACTGGAGCAGAGGTCTGCCAGGCGTTATGCCATTTTAGACTTAATGCTCTGTTGATTATCAAGTTGCATAACTTCTTGACCTTTCCGCCTTAGTGCATGGAGGCCCAGGACTAAACGCTGGGCTCAGTTGCAGCACCTAGTCTTGGCCTACGATTTCTGTTCATCATGTGGTTCTTATCTTTATTCCCCCTTGAACACTTTTATTTGTGAGCCTTCCATGGCAAGTCACCTCAAATCCTCTCTGGAAATACTGAATAAACAATATTCAAGCTTCTCAGTCCTTTGGGGATCTCTAGGAAGGCATACTGGTGGCACCTTAGAGGTAAAGCATCAGTAAAGGGTGAGCAAGAGGTCTGTCATTGGAGAAAACTAATCCAGACATGTGTTCCCTTGTGGGCAGCCGACAGCTCTGTTAGCCTGGCATCTTGGTTCTGCAGGTGCCATGTGTGTCTGGTCACCGACTACACTTCCCTCTTCTTGACTTTCTCACTTGTGATCACAGTAAACAGTTTATTGATACCTCCAAGAAAGGGAAGAACTGCTGGCATCCACCAGTCAGATGCTCCACCAGGATGTGTCTGGAAACCTAGGCCTACCTGTGGGGAATGGACCGTGCATCCTTTCTGAGACTTGTGGGGTCAGGGCGTGCGGGAGGGGCAGTGCTGCCACATCTTTCCACGTGGGGGTGGTTATCTGGCATGCAGTGGTGGGAAGCCCTGGGCCAGGCTGGATCTGGGGGACCTGTGGGATGTCCCATCGATGATGGTTCCAGTCTGGGTAAGGTCCTGGGACATATTCTTTCGCCTCCCTGAACCTTATGGTTGGCTTTGGAAGTGGGAATGATTCCAAGGCCTTTGGATCCAGCCCCAAAAGTTGGTGAGATGAGGTACCACAGTCATAAACTTGGGGACACTCTTTTCCACATTAGGCACTACGGAAAAGTATGCTGAAAACCTCTTTTAACCACAGATTGAATTTCAGAGTCAGAGTTTCCCACTTACTAAAAACGTGACTCATTAGTGGAATCGGCTCCTGCTACAAAGGGAGTGTCCCTAATAGGCTTTCTCCCAGGTCTGTCTCATTGGTACCATCATTTTAAGATTTGTTTTTGATGAGGGGCAGGGGATTCCTGGGGCTGCAAAACCTGGAGGCCAGTAGAGCAGGAGGCTCTTGTCAGCCTACCACTCAAGGAACAGGCTGCATCAGGCAGTGAGGTCTGTACCAGTGGTGCTTCACAGCCTCACGTCTTTTCTTTCTGGTGGGTCTCTTTGGGAATACAGGTCCCAGATTGCTTCTTGGAAATTGCCAGCTTGACGTTACAGGAGTTCTTCAGGGCTATCTCCACAGGGAAAGACTCAGATCCTTCCTGGAAGAAACCCATTTATAAAATTATTTCGAAACTGGACAGTGACATCCCAGAGATACTAAAATCTTCCAGCTATACCCAGGAGCAGTTGCGGAACTAAAATCCCACACAGTGAGGAGCAACTAGCCAGAGTTTCCTGGGTTTGTCTTATATGGCAGTCGATACAGCTGTAGTCATATAAAAAGGCATAAGGATAAACCCCCCCCAATAGGTACTATTACCATTTCTGATAGTTTATTTCCTTTTCCAGAATCATCAGAAGTTTGACATTAACTATAAAATATATCCACCAAGTGTAATGGTGTGTTGGTTGCGTTTTGTAAAAGGAACACCACGGTATGTTGGAATCAGAAGCCTTAAATCTCCACTATTTCCAAGTGTTGTGACCCTGGGAACTTGCAGGTATTCTCTGCATCTATAAAATGAGGCTGTAAGGATTAAAAGATGATGTCCTGAAGTACTGTGAAATGTTACCCACTACGCAAATGTTAGCTTCCCCCGCCTTTGGCTTTCAGATAAGGTTGTCTCGTTTTTGTTTTTGTTTTGTTTTGTTTTGACCAAATTGCTGGTCGTGGTTACCAATTTATCAAGCTCCACCTATTTGCTAGACACTTTCAAATATATTATCCTTAAGTGTTTTACCCTGAAAAGTAGATATTATCTTCATTTAAAAAATAACCAAACAGAAGTTTTAGAACAGTGCAAGGCTAGGGAATTTTGGTTGGTAAGGACAGTTGGGAGATGGAGGAACCCAAGACCTTCTGATGGCCAGATTGTATCCTATCTCACGCTGCTTGTCATGACCTTGAACAGGCCACCATCCCCCGTAAGCCTCCAGCACTTGCGAATGCTTCATCACCCAGGATTCCCACTGACCATTCCAGCAAGCTGAACACAGACTTTCTGCAGGACTTGAGGGTTGCTGTTCATTCACATTCGTCGGCTGGAAAAGTTTATCAGCTGGACAGCCCAAATGGTCTCTAGTTGACCAAGGCAATTGATGCCCTAACCTCCTATGTGCAGAAGAAGCTGAACTTCAGAATGTGAAAGCCACCAAGGGCCTTAGGAGATCATCTGGCCTGCTTCAATTAAGAAGGAGGAAACTGAGGCCCAGACGGGAGGCTCGTGCAGCCTGAGCACAGTCTCACAGATGATGAATGCCATAACCGGGACAAATACGGCACCACACACAGAAATGGACGCTGTCCCACTCCGTAAGGAAATCACAGTCCATGGTCAAATTTTCGCAAACAAAGGAATTCATGAAATCAACATCCCCCTCCTACTGGCCCAGCGCAAATTGTGACTCACTCTGAGGATATAGGCAACACATCTGCCAAGTCGAGCAATTGTGTCTGTCTTCTAAGTCAGTCAGAATCGAGTCTTAGGAAGCACTGTGAAGGGTGTGGGGGCTGGGGAAGGCACAGCTTGGACTCTGTCGTTCTGAGAAAGGGTGTTTGTGACTCCATTAGCTTCTTTCCCATCTACGTAAAACAAGTTTCCATATTCAACTACCCCACTTCCTTGACTTTTTGGGTGGGCTGGGTAAGATGCAATTCCTTAACTATTGCTACCTGTAGCAACAGGAAAAGCTATGAAAGATGACTTTCTTTTGCATTTTCTCTTTCTTTAGATGGCGGAGAGGAAAACAAAACAAACATACCCAGTCCAAGTTAACGGTCTGTTTTAAGTTGTTTTTAAGTGTCCTTCAATACATCCAACTGGACTTGGATGATCTTTGCCCTATTTTCTCTGACACTGTCCCCTTTCTAAAACGGAAGGAATCTGCCAAATCTAAGTTTTAAAAGTAGGCAAGCACTGAGTGCTCTAAGCAAGGGCAATCAGTTATCTGAGTTTGGAGACAGCAGAATCACTCTCCAGAGTGATAGTACGTAGCTATTTAAGACATTCATGGGAAACATTTCCAAGTTCACGACTGTCTGACATGGAGCAGCCGTTTTCTGTCCCAAACCTGAAATTCATTAGTGTGTGTTTTAAAGACTGAGCCAAGGCACCTCCAGGGTAGTGAACCTTGTCCCAGGGACCAATTAGATGAAATGTACAAGCTCAAATTGAAAACATTTGTATCCTGCAATCTTTCCAGGAACTGTTCTCTAACCACTGAGCTAAACACAGAAGAATGTATAAATACATATGCTCTGCCAACAGAAGAAGTCTATTTTATTATATTTTTCTGTTTCTACCCAGTATCTCTTTTTCTGTTGAGAACACATTCTAAGTGTAAGCCGAATGGGTTATTGTTCTTTTAGCTGCCGTAACATTGCCAAGGTCTGGTCATTCTTTCCATGAAGGTATATGTGGGCACTCTTTTCTCCCAAATCTGACATGTTCGGAGGCTGGTCAAATACTGCAAAACTGTCTAACACATTAGTGGTGGGCAGTAGGGCCTGGGCTGTGTTATGATGATGGCACTATTGAGATAATGCCCAATTAGCGATTAAAAGCAGGCAGTTAATTTGCATTCCATGCAGGAAAAGGTTTAGTAGGAACCTTATTTCAAACATGGTTTCACATAATATGCACAGTTCCAAACCCGACTCATACAGCCAAGAGGCTGAAGACACCTCCTGGGCATGGAAGGGGTGCCTGAACCATTTCCTTTCCATCAGAGAAAGGGTGAAGCATAACTCGCAGAGGCGTCACAGTGCTCGTTGATAAACACAGCCCCATCACTGGATGCAGATCCACAGGTACACTTTTAAAAACTGTATTTTAATGACAAAATATAGAATCCTCAGACAAAATAACTTAAAATGACTTCCATAACATAATTGTACATATGCCTTTAGAAAATATTTCTTTAAAAAAATCCTTATAAAATTAGCTAAAATTTTGGTAACAGTTTTCTGGATGAGGTCCTATATATATTCTAAATTTTCATAATCTTTTATTCTATCTTTTGTCTATAGTTTTGACCCTTTGCTCTCTAAGTAGATCAAATAGTTTGATGATGCATGCGTTCAAAAGAAAATAGAAATTTTAAAAATCTTTTGATGTTTTTACACAAGCTCTATTAGGCATTTGTACAGATTTCATATAATGCAAGATCATTTTCTCAGGACTGAGAAATTCAGAAAAGATAATGAAATTGAGTGATGGGTGGGAAAGAGATAAAGAACACACACACTGGCTCCTATAGGTTATAGGTCTATCTGGCTGATGATTAAATTATGTATATTTGAATTTGAAAAATGCTCTACGATACTTAATAATTGCTTCAGGGCTTGATGCTTTGGGTGTATATGCTTGTAACAATATGGCAAATGTACTTATGAGAGTATAACAATTTTCTTGGTGAGATTTAAGTATATACAACACACGCTGGAAAGAATGAACTCTGATTACCTATTTGACAGTATTAATAATGCATGCTGTATCTCTGAGGTAGATCATGGTACCTACACTGTATGTATTAAGCGCTCACCTGTGGAAAAAGATAATTCATGAAGCGAGTATTTTTCAGGGGTAGACAATTCCTATAGACCAAGAAAAAGCTCTTTCAGACTACATAAACCTAAATAGTGTAACCAAGTGCCCAAGAGTTGAATGCTCATTCATATTCCCCCACCCTCACCCCAGTTAGCCTCCAGAGGAAGGGAATGTCTGATGAAACACTGAGGGTAAGGACAGACCGTAAAAACAGTACAGGAACACCCGCCCCAAGCCGCACTAGTTTCCCATGTCCATCTACTCACTGAGGAGTCTCTTCTTTCTCACCAAGTAAGTGTCTTTTGAGGTTATTTTGTTTCTCACAATCTCACCCCTTCACGCTCACAAACTCTTGTTTTGCCGTCTCCAAATTCTCCAGTCACCCCTCAAACAAACATCATGTCCTAGTCTTCCCTTAGACAAACCCTTTTCTTATCCTGCTTACTGATTTCTGCAGCTTAGACTCCCTCTCTCCTTGAAAAGCGCTTCTGGTCTGGAAATTTAGCCTTAGGTGATATTGTCTCTACCCTAACCTTTTCCTTACTTTATCCTCAGTGCTGCTGCCCTCCTACCTCACTTTCCCCTTCAACCAAGACCTTTCCTGATTGAGAACCAATATAGATCTCTGCACATTACGGCCTCAGTGTTCCCATCTGTAAAATAGAGATAATAGTGCCTACCTCATAATACTGTTCTAAGGTTTAGATAAAATAATACATGTGAAATTCTCAGCACACTTGGCAGTGCACAGTCGGTGCTCAGTAAATGTTAGCTAGATTTATTACTCAGCAGTCATAAACTTAGCAAAGTCATGAATTTGTACTGCTTTACAGTGAAAAACCATTTCTTAGCTTAAGGGTGGCACTGATGTGTAACATGACTGATGAAAGACCTATTCTGAATTTCATTTCTTCTATAAACACGATACCTGTGATGACAGTACAAAAGTTAGCTTTAAATTTTATGTTTTGAGAAATTAACACCCAGCTAAAAAAAGCCTTGTGCTATAAACTCCATATGCATTCCTTCATTTACTCTTTATAATCATTCTATGTTGATGTGTTTACTTGACACATGACATAGCTATTATGGCTATTTGCTAGCTGGTTGCTAAAACACTGACCTGCTTTTGTCGAAACATCTTTGTAGTGAATGTTCCATTTGTTAAGAGGCTGGTTCATTGCTTTCTTGACTGGGTTGTGTGTGGATTGGGGGGGGGGGCATATACTGATATAACCCTGGTTTTCTTCTCCTAACATTTAAAACCTATGTTCAGGATGACATTTCCATTAAGATAAAGCTTACTTTTTAATTGAAAATAATCTGGCCTCTTTTCTGATTTTTTTTCATTTCGTAATCATTCATGTTGATTATCTTCTTCCTCTGCTCTTTTCATGAGTGGGTTGGTGATTACCTTTTCCAGAATATCTAAGACTCTAAATAAATTGACTTTTTCAAATCAGGCTTTATGAGACAAGGGGATTATCAATTTGATGCTTTGCTGAATTTTCACTATATTAAATCCCTAACAAGAAAAACCCCACAAATACATCTGGCAGAATGTATTCTTTATAAATACCCCAAGGCTGCTTCTGCTCAAGATTACTACCTTGGTGTTTAGACACTTTCTCATCACATAGCCCATGATTTCATCGGGGCTGAGCTTACTGACTCTGGACCAACCAGAACAACTCCAGAACTCGTCTATGAAACTCTCGCCAAAAACAGTCAGAAATAAAAGTTTCTAAGGAAGATAGTGGTGTGCAGGCAGTATAACAGAACACACAGACAGTTTTGCTAGATGATAGATTTAGCAGCAAATCCTGGGAACAGAAAGCTTAATACTGGACTTACATTCCCTAAGCACCTTAGTTTTTATATACTATGTGCAATGATAATTAAAATCCTATGCTATATGGATGGTAGATATGATTATGTATCCTTAAGCTCTAGAGACAGTAATTACTTAAAAAGTGAGGTAGAGTTTAGTATGTCGACAATGCTTAGAATATGCTATTGACTGTTTCCGTTTCTTTATTACAGAATCAAGCCTACTCACTTCGAACATATCAGGGCATTTTTCTGCGAGGTTGACAGTCTTCTTACTGTTTCGGGAACTACATAAATGCACTAATTATTGAGCAAATCTCAAATGTTCTAAAACTTGGCAGAAAAAAGAACTTCCTAGCATTCAGTCCATTGCTGTTGTGCCAGAATTGGTGGATTTGCCTCCAAAATGAAGACCAATAACAGACTTTTATGCTTTGGGGCATATATACTTATTATTTCACTTCCTTCATATAATGACCACGGTTTACTGCCTCAAAACATAGTTATTGAGAAATGCACCTTTAATGAGGATCCCAGGACAAAGGACTAAAAGGCCACTTTATGTTACAAAAGCTACACTACCTATCCCCATCAGGATGGCAGCTGTCCCCAATAATACAAAGTCCTGAACTCAAGTTGGCGATGAGACTACAAGCAAAAGGACTACTTCCATATTCCTTAACAGTTCTTCAGAATCCCATGAGGAATACTGTATCTTGACTGTAGTGGTGGTTACACATGATAAAATGGCACAGAACTACACACACATACTTGAGTGCTTGTAAAACCAGTGAAATCTGAATAAGCCCTGGGGAGTACACCAGTGTCAATTTCTCGGTTTTGATACAAAACTCTATCTAAGGTGTTACCATAGGAGAGGCTGGGTGAAGGATGCATGAGGACTTCTCTGTACATTTCCCCCCAACTTTTTATGAATCTATAGTTATATCAAAATAAAAAGTTAAAAAAAAAATAAAACCCATGTAGAATCAGAATCTCTGACAAAGAGTTCTATTGAAGGAGCGATGTCCCCTAAGGAAGGAGCAAATCAAAGTCCACACCACCATAGACTCGAATGCGTCTATAAGGACACTTTAAACCACAAATACCTAATTACCTTAAATACCAAAGCAGATTAATTTAATAAGGTACAGTTCTATCTTCTTGATTAAATAGCCGCTTTCATTTTGTTAGGGTTTAGTTCTGTTTTGAGTACACAGATAATCAG